CGCCAGCCTGCGGAGGGCGGAGGGCGGAGGGCGGTGAGTCCCACACGGAAGTCAGGTAGGACCTGCCTGGCCACACTGCTGCCGCTGGTGCCCAGCCGCCTCTGTTGGCCGGACGCTGAGGCAGGAGGGAGTGCCGAATGCGGGTGAGTCAGGGCTGCACAGCCAGCCTCACCTGGACAGAGCCGTGGGCTTGCTGGAGCCCAGGATGAGGTGCCCGTGGCCAGGGCTCCACTCTCCATCCTCGGGGTGGGTCAGAGGAGAGCAGTCGGGGACCCTGCAACTCCAGGGTGGGGTCTCGGTGAGGGAGTAGGGCCCAGATGGGCAGGGCACGTCCACCCCCAGGCCCTGCGTCTGGGGCAGGACCCCGAGACTCAGCAGCTGTGCCTTGCAGCTGACACCTGGGGAGGGCGCTGATCAGGGTGGGAGAGGCCCAGGGTGGCCCGCTGGGCCCTCTGCTCCGTAGGGTCCTGCCTGGCAGAGGCAGGGGTGGCGGAGGGCCACTGGATTCGATCCTGGGGGCAGAGCAGGAGGCTGCGAGGGCCTGGGAGAGTGGGTAGGAGAACGTCCGGGAAGACATCCTTTCTCCCGGGAAGAGTTCACAGGGCAGGGCCAGCACCTGGGCGGCAGGAGGAGACCCAGGCGAGGTGGAGAGTGAAACCAGCCTCCCACTGGGTCACCCTCCCAGGTGTGAGCCAAGGAGCCGCCTCCACCTCTGCCCGGGGGCCTCCTCAGCCCTGCCGGAGCCAGCGCTGGCTCCCCAGGATCCTCAGCCCCTTCCTCTCCTGCCAGGGTGGGGGCGGCTTGGGGCTGGCTCAGGGTGTGTGGGGAGGCAGCACCTGGCTTGGTGCTTGGGGAGAGAATTAACCCTGTGAAGGCCAGGAGCAGATGCAGACCGCAGGCCTGAGCATGCTCTCCCCGCTCAGATCCCCCCAGGGCTCTCCGCTGCCCCCAGCTGGGTCCAAGCTCCCCAGCCCCCCGCCCAGTCCTCCATGGTCTGGCTTCTGCCAACCCCCAGCCTCACCTCCTAGCAGCTCCTTCCTCGCTCTTTATGCTTCCGCAAAATTGAAATACTGAGGACCGAGTCCGGGAAGAGTGACTGCCAAGTCTCATGGGCACTAAGTACCAGGTCTCTAGGAGCAGTGACTTCCAAGTCCTTGGAGGTGCCGAGCACACCGAGTCCCTGGGGGCACGAGCACCCCGTCCCTGGAGGTGCCGAGTCCCTGGGGGTATGAGCACCCCGTCCCTGGAGGTGCCGAGCACCGAGTCCCTGGGGGCACGAGCACCCCGTCCCTGGAGGTGCCGAGCACACCGAGTCCCTGGGGGGAAGAGCACCCCGTCCCTGGAGGTGCCGAGCGCACTGAGTCCCTGGGGGCACGAGCACCTCGTCCCTGGAGGTGCCGAGCACCGCGTCCCTGGGGGGAAGAGCACCGCGTCCCTGGAGGTGCTGAGCGCACTGAGTCCCTGGGGGTACGAGCACCCGTCCCTGGAGGTGCCGAGCACTGAGTCCCTGGGGGTATGAGCACCCCGTCCTTGAAGGTGCTGAGCACTGAGTCCCTGGGGGTATGAGCACCCCGTCCATGGAGGTGCCGAGCACCAAGTCCCTGAGGGTATGAGCACCCCGTCCTTGGAGGTGCCGAGCACTGAGTCCCTTGGGGTACGAGCACCCCGTCCCTGGAGGTGCCGAGCACCGAGTCCCTGGGAGTACGAGCACCCCATCCTTGGAGGTGCCGAGCACCGAGTCCCTGGGGGTACGAGCACCCCGTCCCTGGAGGTGCCGAGCACCGAGTCCCTGGGGTATGAGCACCCCGTCCTTGAAGGTGCTGAGCACTGAGTCCCTGGGGGTATGAGCACCCCGTCCCTGGAGGTGCCGAGCACCAAGTCCCTGAGGGTATGAGCACCCCGTCCTTGGAGGTGCCGAGCACCGAGTCCCTGGGGGCACGAGCACCCCGTCCCTGGAGGTGCCGAGCACCGAGTCCCTGGGAGTACGAGCACCCCATCCTTGGAGGTGCCGAGCACCGAGTCCCTGGGGGTACGAGCACCCCGTCCCTGGAGGTGCCGAGCACCGAGTCCCTGGGGGTATAAGCACCCCGTCCCTGGAGGTGCCGAGCACCGAGTCCCTGGGGGTATGAGCACCCCGTCCTTGAAGGTGCTGAGCACTGAGTCCCTGGGGGTATGAGCACCCCATCCCTGGAGGTGCCGAGCACCGAGTCCCTGGGGGTATGAGCACCCCATCCCTGGAGGTGCCGAGCACCGAGTCCCTGGGGGTATGAGCACCCTGTCCTTGGAGGTGGTGAGCACTGAGTCCCTGGGGGCACGAGCACCCCGTCCTTGGAGGTGAGTCTCAGGCACCAACTATGTGCTGCTCCTCAGAGCCTGTTTCCTTCTCCCAGGAGCTGCTCCCACTTTTTCGCCTCCTGCCAACCTCTTGCCCCACAAGGCCAAGCTCCCACTCTGCTCAGTAGGCTCCTGCCCCTCCAGACCCTGTGTCCACTGAGCCCACACACTGCCCACGAGGGCTGCGCGCAGGGCAGGCACTTCACCAGCGAGTGTCGGGATGGGGGATGGACGGACGCACACAAGAACGAACTGACAGCTGGGCAGCTGGGCAGAGAGGGAGGGGAGGGGGGACCGACAACCTGCTTCAGAAGCTGAGCAGGCAGAACCAGGTGGGGCGTCTGTCCAGGGAGGGTGGTCAGAGGGCACCTGGCCAGGCCAGCCAGGGTGGGGCGCCCTGTGGCGGGGGCGGCCATGTTCCCTTGCTGGACGATGACGCTGCACCGTGCTTTCGGGGCTGAGCCAGCAGGGCCCAGGGGTGTGACGTGACCTCTGGGAACAGTGAGGGGAGGCCCACATGTGTCCGTGTGCAGCTGAACTGGTGTCATGCGTGTGTGCTCCACGTAGCCACCGCCAGGCTGGGTGGTGGTCGCTCTGCACAGCCATGTCCCTGGCCCCTGGAGACCTGGAGCTGCCCGGGAAGGGCTACACAGAGGGGACGGTCCCAGCTCTTGATGTCCCCCAGAGCTGCGGTTTTGTTTTAGTACAAGTATATCCCGTGCTGACAATGATTGGGACATACTTACACCAAGAGGGATCTTGATTGCCTGGAATCGAAGGCGGCTGGGCGGCCTGCACGCCCCCTGGCAGCACTGGAGGGCAGACGGGACGGGGCAGCCCAGGCAGGCTTACTGGAAGAGGCGTGCTTGTGCTGGGCAGGAATGTGGTTGGAGAAGGGACAGGCTGGCAGGCGGGGTCCAGCAGGACCCAAGCCTTGGCCGTGGGCGGCCGGAGCAAGGCGTGAGGGCTGTGGGCCGGGCCTGCAGGGGCAGGAGGCCAGGGCAGAAGCCCAGGGCCACCGGGGGCCACGATGGGGTAGGGCTGAGGCAGGTTCTCTGATGGACACAGCCCCTCCTCTGAAGCCTTATGCCTGGGGTGCAGCGGGTCCCTGGTCCTCTGAGGTCCCTGTCATCTGTGCAAACACGGGGTGCTCAGCCCCGTGCTTGGGTGCGGCACCATGGCCCAGGTCGGAGGAGGTGGGCGATCTCTCCTGAGGGCGTGTGGTGTTGGCATCCTTGGGCTCTTGGCTCCAGAGCCAGGGTCCTCGCCCTGCACCTCTGCCCAGGGCTCACCCACGTGACCTGCTCTGACCGTGTGCCTGGTCCCCCCAGTGGAGGAGCCCGGGGTCACTCTGTCTCAGTCCTCAGAGCCTGCCCTCTGGGAGTAGATGAGCCCCCGCTCCCCGCCCTAGCTCCTGCCCCTCCTGCTCGGGCAGGTGGGCACCTCTGTCAGTCCTAAAGAGCTGTGAGCACAGAGCAGGCACCCTATGTCCTTGGCCGGTTTCCCCCGAGGTTAGCGCCCTCTCCTGGGACACTGGTCAACACGAGGGGCCCACCGCAGCCTCGGCTCCAACGTCACGTTTTCCCACCGGCTCCTTCTGTCCCTGTCAGTGCAAGGTCCGGCGTGGCATTTGGGCCCTCCCATCTGGGATGGTCCCTCCTTGCCGGTGGCCGTCTGCCTGTTGGGTCGGCTCCGGTGTGGAGAAGGTCCCTGTGATGTTCTCGTGCTGAGATGGAACGGTAGGCGTTAGGGAGGGGACCACACACCGTCACATCACATCCTGTCAGGGTCCCTGACCTCACGTGGTCTTGACCTTCACTGCCCGTGTGGGCGACCCCTTTTTCCTCCGGCACTTTCTTCGATGGTCTCCAAGCGCAGCTCCCCCACCGCAGGGGAGGGTGAAGCTGCACCTCCTGAGTTTAAGACCCTTGAAACTCGGGAGGGTCTCAAGGCCGTGCACAGGTCCACTTCCTCCCTGAGGGTCTGCCCACTGAGGTCAGCATCTGCGTGTCTGTCCCAGATGTACAGGTCGTCATTGTAGTTTTCCTGAACTCGGTACGTGTGTCCCCCATGTCCCGTGTGAGGCGACGGCCCGTTCGTGTTCCCGTTGCGTGATCTGTCAGCCTGTGGGGATGGCACCGTGTCTCCAACCACTCGCCCACCGTGGAGTGTGGATTATTTCCACCATTTCGATGTGCCGTTGGCTCCTGTGAGCACCCTGCCTGTGGCTCCAGGTGTGGCCAGGCTGGGCCGGGGACGTTCGATTCCGTGTTCCAAATTCGCTCACCAGTGTGTGCGCCTGGGCAACACCGGGGTTCTGCTGGCTCTGGTGCTGTTCGCCCCTTAAAGCGTTAGTGAGCGAATGGGTAGAAGGAGGCGCCTTCCGGTCACCGGACCCACATTTCCTGCTCTTCCCGAGTCCCGGTGTCCACCTGTGCGTGCCGTTTGGCCGAGTTCAGGCTGGGCTGTCTGTCTTGGGATTTCAGGAGCTCTCTGTCCACATTCCCGAACAAACCTCTGCTGGTCAGACAGCCCAGGTGCCCCTGTTGACTTGCTTTCCTCCCCAGCCCCACCCCAGCTTTATGTTTAAGTCCCTTGGTGCCCAGGAGATGCTCTACTTCTGAATAAACTCAATCCTTCACCCCCCCGCCCCACCCCAGGGTGAAGAGATGGGGACAGACGGGGACAGCTTACCACTGATGGAGATGGGCGCTTCGGAGGTGAGGGAGGTGAGTGTCTGCTCAGCCCCTCTGGGACGGCCCCTCCCACTGCCCCTGCCTGGCCTATTCCTCCCCCTGCAGCCCGAGCCCCTGGACCAGTCGGTGGACTACGTCCTGGTGGCTGATCATCGCACCCAGAGGAACCCCAGGAAGGTCCAGCAGCAAAAGCGATTCCTGGAGGACCTTAGAAGAAAGGGCTTCTGCTACAAGGTGGGCGGGCAGCGGGTGGGCAGGAGTCACGGGTGCCCGATGGGTCCTCGGGTGGGGCCTGGAGAGGGGGCTGCGGTCTTGTGCCTGCGGTGAAGGGGCTGGCCAGTGCCTTGGACGGAGTGGAGAGGGTCCCGAGGTGGAATGGAGAGCCCCGTGCGGCCCCTCCCCAGGTGAAGGAGGACGAGGAGAAGGTGTTCTTTGGGATCCGAGCGGACAATAGGATCTTCAGCCTGTACCGCACGCTCCTCTTGGAGCCCGAGGGTCCGGACCCCAGAGTGGAGCCCATCGGGCCGACCACCATCCCCGCCACCACCAGGTGAGAGGCTGGCCCAGAGCCAGGCCAGGAGCACCCCTGCCTGCCCCGTGCGTGCCCCGTCCGGGCGGAGGCTCCCGGGCGTGGCCTCGGGGCTCCGTGCACAGCTTCCACATCCGGGCAGAGGGACGATGACCGTTCTCACCTCCTGGAGTGTTCTGAAAGCTAAAGGGACTTAGAGGGTAGGCAGGACTCAGAGAGGCCGAGAGGACCCCCCCCCCCAGCCTTCTCTCCTGGCTCTGAACCCAGATGCAGGTCCCCGACTCTCCACTCCCAACCCAATACCCTTCCCTGGCCATCTGTCCCTGGCCTCCCAGGAGCCCAACCCTCCTCTCTCCCTGAGCATCTGCTTCTCCCCACTGACCCTCAGCTCTACAAGCCTACATCCCTCCTCCCTCCCCTGCCTGGGTCATTCCAGGCCCCTCCCCACACCCATCTGCCCTCCCCACATGCCTCCTCCCTCCCCTGCCTGGGTCATCCCAGGCCCCTCCCCACACCCACCTGCCCTCCCCACATGCCTCCTCCCTCCCCTGCCTGGGTCATCCCAGGCCCCTCCCCACACCCACCTGCCCTCCCAACATCCCTCCTCCCTCCCCTGCCCGGGTCATCCCAGGCCCCTCCCAGCTCAGCTGTGGCCCTGTCAGTGGAGACTGGCAAAGGACACTCATGTGGATATGAGGCAATGGCGGGGGGCTCCTGGGGACACAGGAGAAGTCGCAGGTCTCTGGGAGGAGCAAGAGGGGGACACTGAGTAGACAGCTTGCTGGGGTCCGGGAGGATCAGGCTAGGGTGAGTGCCCTGGGACATCCAGGGGACCTGGCTCCTAGGACGATGCTCCAGAGGAGTGTGGCTCCTCAGTCAGGTGCTTGGTTGTGGCACTTCTAGCTGTGTGGCCTTGGGCAAGTTACTCAACCTCTCTGAGCCTCAGTTTCCACACAGGCAAACTGCTCCCAGGGAGGTAAAGAGGATTCACATACATAAAGGTGTATGGTGTGCTCTGGGCCTGTGGGGGCTCCAGGGAGAAGGTGTGATTGGAATTGGGGGGGGGGTCAGGCCAGGCTTCTGGGGTTCTGGGAGGAGAGGGACCACTCCTGAGGGAGCCCTGTCCTGGAGCCGCCCTGGGAGGATTTAAGAAGGTCAAGGGTGGGCTCCTCGAGAAGTCCTGGGCCTGGGCTCTGGTCGGTGAGGCGGGGAGGTTGGGGCTCCGCCAGGATGGCATGGGGCTTGGACCTGGCCAGACAGGGGTCAGGTCCACTGAGGTCACCTACGGCCATCCTGAACCTGTTCCTGTGTTTCAGAATTCGAGTCGTCAACTTCATCCTGAACTGCAGGACGGCATCTGGTGGTGAGGACCGGGTTGGCGGGGGGCCGGGCAGCGGGTCACCAGGAGGCACTGAGGTGGGGAGAATGTGGCGGGGTCCTCCCTCACGCACACCCCTCTGACTGGGACTACCTGTGACCTTCAGACACATTCCAGGATTTGGTGAAGGACGGGGTCTTTGAGACCAGGTTTCCCCTGCACAAGGTGAGGGGGGCTGGCTGGGAGGGGCCTGACCGCAGGGGGACCAGAGGCAGGAGGCTCTCACTGTCCTCATCTGTGCCCAGGGGCAGGAAAAGCTGAAGAAGAAGTGGGCCCAGTGGAGAAACATGGTCCATGAGCAGCCCATTGATGATATCAGGTAGTACTGCCCCTCCACAGGCATACCCGTGTGGCCTAGAGACCCACCTGTGCCCCCACAGATACACCCATGTGCCCCAGAGATCCACCTGTGCCCCACAGATACGCCTGCGTACCCCAGAGACCCACCTGCGCCCCCACAGATACACCTGTGTGCCCCAGAGATCCACCTGTGCCCCACAGATACACCTGTATGCCCCAGAGACCCCCATGCTCCCCACAGATACACCTGTGTGCCCCAGAGATCCACCTGTGCCCCACAGATACACCTGCGTACCCCAGAGACCCACCTGCGCCCCCACAGATACACCTGTGTGCCCCAGAGATCCACCTGTGCCCCACAGATACACCTGCGTACCCCAGAGACCCACCTGCGCCCCCACAGATACACCTGTGTGCCCCAGAGACCCACCTGCGCCCCCACAGATACACCTGTGTGCCCCAGAGACCCACCTGTGCCCCCACAGATACACCCGTGTGCCCCAGAGACCCCCCTGCGCCCCACAGATACACCTGTGTGCCCCAGAGATCCACCTGTGCCCCACAGATACACCTGCGTACCCCAGAGACCCACCTGCACCCCCACAGATACACCTGTGTGCCCCAGAGATCCACCTGTGCCCCACAGATACACCTGCGTACCCCAGAGACCCACCTGCACCCCCACAGATACACCTGTGTGCCCCAGAGATCCACCTGTGCCCCACAGATACACCTGCGTACCCCAGAGACCCACCTGCGCCCCCACAGATACACCTGTGTGCCCCAGAGACCCACCTGCGCCCCCACAGATACACCTGTGTGCCCCAGAGACCCACCTGTGCCCCCACAGATACACCCGTGTGCCCCAGAGACCCACCTGCACCCCACAGATACACCTGTGTGCCCCAGAGACCCACCTGTGCCCCACAGATACACCTGTGTGTCCCAGAGACCCACCTGTGCCCCCTCAGATACACCTGTGTGTCCCAGAGACCCACCTGTGCCCCACAGATACAGCTGTGTGCCCCAGAGACCCACCTGTGTCCCACAGATACAGCTGTGTGCCCCAGAGACCCACCTGTGCCCCACAGATACACCTGTGTGTCCCAGAGACCCACCTGTGCCCTCTCAGATACACCTGTGTGTCCCAGAGACCCACCTGTGCCCCACAGATACACCTGTGTGTCCCAGAGACCCACCTGTGCCCCACAGATACACCTGTGTGCCCCAGAGACCCACCTGTGCCTCACAGATACACCTGTGTGCCCCAGAGACCCACCTGTGCCCCACAGATACACCTATGTACCCAAAGACACATCCATGCCCCCAGATACACTGTACTCCCACAGAGACACCTCTGGACCCCCAGATACCTGTACCCCCCAGACACACCTGTGCCCCCACAGACACACCTGTGTGCCCACAGACACATGTATCTATACCTCTAGCAAACATGTGTCTGTTCTCCCCACTTAGATGCATTGATGCCATCAATACAGACTCCTTGCCCCCGACCCCTGTGGTATGCCCCAGCCAGGCACTGGTCTGGGACGTCACCCCCGGGGGTGGGGGTGGCTCTAACGGGGCGGCTGTGCCCGTAGGAACTACTTTGGCGAGAAGGTGGCCCTGTACTTTGCCTGGCTCGGCTGGTACACCTACATGCTGGTGCCTGCCGCATTGGTAGGCCTCATCGTCTTCCTGAGCGGCTTCTCCCTGTTCAATGCCAGCCAGATCAGGTGGGAGGGGGCCGGGCGGGAGTGGGGTGGGGGTGGGGGAATGGGGTGGAGCGGGCGGGGTGAGGTGGGCGTGGGGGCCGGGTGGGCATGGGGGCCGGGTGGGCATGGGGCGGGGTGCGGGATGGAGAATGGGGGGAGCGGTCGGGGCGGCAGGGAAGAGCATAGCGCCCGGCTTCCCCCAGCAAGGAGATCTGTGAGGCCAAGAACATCTACATGTGCCCGCGCGGCAGCAGCCGCAGGTACCAGCGTCTCTCCGACACCTGCACCTTTGCCAAGGTTTGCTGCCCGGGTCCCCGCGCCAGGCCCACTGCTTGTCCCGCCCCTGCAGGGGCTGCCCCCCCTGGGCTGAGAGGGCGGGGGACGGCCAGCCAGCCCCATGTGTCCCTTCCGCAGCTCACCCACCTCTTTGACAACGAGGGCACCGTGATATTCGCCATCTTCATGGCTCTGTGGGGTGAGTCTGCAGGCACCTGGGGCGCCCTGGGCCAGCACCCCAGGGACACACGTGACCCTCCTCACTCCTGCTGCAGCCACCGTGTTCCTGGAGTTCTGGAAGCGGCAGAGAGCCCGAGTGGTCCTGCACTGGGACCTGTACGGCTGGGACGAGGACCAGGTGAGGGGGGCCAGTGACCAGAAGGGCTCTCTCTCCCGTGCCCGTGTGGCCCAGACCTGGCTCTGTGGTGTCTGAGGTGCGTGTCCTGTGTCTGAGGCGCGTGTCCCGTGCCCGAGGCGCGTGTCCCGTGTCCGAGGCGTGTGTCCCGTGTCCGAGGAGCGTGTCCCGTGTCTGAGGCGCGTGTCCCGTGTCTGAGGAGTGTGTCCCGTGTCTGAGGCGCGTGTCCCGTGTCCGAGGAGCGTGTCCCGTGTCTGAGGCGCGTGTCCCGTGTCTGAGGCGTGTGTCCCGTGCCCGAGGTGTGTGTCCCGTGTCCGAGGCGCGTGTCCCGTGTCTGAGGAGTGTGTCCCGTGTCTGAGGCACGTGTGCCGTGTCCGAGGAGCGTGTCCCGTGTCCGAGGCACGTGTCCCGTGTCCGAGGCGCGTGTCCCGTGTCTGAGGAGTGTGTCCCGTGTCTGAGGCATGTGTGCCGTGTCTGAGGTGCGTGTCCCGTGTCTGAGGAGTGTGTCCCGTGCCTGAGGCGCGTGTCCCGTGCCCGAGGCGCGTGTCCCGTGTCTGAGGCGTGTCTGGCGCCCTCTCAGGAAGAAGTGGCCCTCGAGCTCATTAACTGTCCTGACTACAAGCTGCAGCCGCACCAGCACTCCTACCTGAGGAGCATCATCATCCTCGTCCTGTCCTTGTTCATGGTACTCCTGGGAGCCTGTGGCGGCCGGCGACGGGGCTGGTGGCCGGTCAGCTCACCATCCTGGCCTTGGCCCTGCAGATCTGCATCATGATTGGCATGGCTCACATCCTGGTGGTCTACCGCGTCCTGGCGGCCGCCCTCTTCAGCAACTCGGCCTTGCCCTTCCTGGAGGAGCAGGTGACCACGGCGGTGGTGGTGACCGGGGCCCTGGTGCACTACGTGACCATCCTCTTCATGACCAAGGTGAGCGGATGCCCGGGGCGGGGTGGGGGACTCCCCTGAGGCCCAGAGCGAGCTCTCCCGTCTCCCCTCCTGCAGATCAACAAGTGTGTTGCCATGAAGCTCTGTGACTTTGGTGAGAGTGGGAAGGGGCAGCCCCTCCCTGGCTTCCAGGGCGACCGGGAGGGGTGATGGGCGGGGCGGGGCCTCCTACCGTCTCTGCCGCCTCTCCCACCAGAGTGGGGGTTTGCACCTGGGAGACAGGTGAGGGTGGCAGGTGTCCCGAGTGTCAGCACAGGGACAGGCTGGGCGGGGACGTTTGTGGAGGGAGCGACTGGCAAGGGCAGCCTGCGTGTTTTCCCAGAGAAGTCCAGGACCTTCTCGGAGCGAGAGAGCAAGTTCACCGTCAAGTTCTTCACCCTGCAATTCTTCGCACACTTCTCCTCGCTCGTCTACATCGCCTTCATCCTGGGCAGGTGGGCCTCGCCTAAAAACTAAAGTCAGCTCCCTCGCAGCAAGAGGGAAGCCGGTGTAGAAATGTGCGGAGGGAGCCCACAGTGGCACCCCAACTCTGGGGCCCCGGCCCTGAGGGGACCCGTCCCCGTCGGCAGGTCCGACCAGACGCTCACGTGTTCACACGCACACAGGTGGACAGTGTGGTTCTGTCCTGTGAGTGACTCTCCCTTGTTACACGGGACACGTGCAGGGGGCTGCGTCCAGGCCGCGGGTGGGGAGGCCCGTCACCTCTGCACCCCAATGCTCTGTGCGGGGGGCCGGTGCCGGTTTCATCACGCCGGTGGGGCACATCTGACTCCTCCCAATTCTGAGCCTTGCGGGTGAGCTGCAGGAGCATCCCTCACGCACCCCCCCCCTCGTCGCGCAGAGGACACTTTAGGTTCCCTCAACACACGCTCTTTTGTCTTGTCTTTTCTGAAGAAAGTCATCGCCCCATTTGTTCTGTTTGGAGAACTGTGTAAGGGACACGCACGTTGCCAGTTGATCCCCAACTGTCTACCGAACTTTCAAACACCCCAGCTCCTGCAGGGTGTTGGCAGACGTCAGGGACACCGTCCTGGTGTCTGTCCCCTCGCTTCGGGGCTGTGCGTGGTCCTTGCACCTCTGTGGGACCCAGGTTCCCAGAGGCTTCCTGGGGAGGGCTGGCGACTCAGATGTGGTTGGCTCGTGAGCACCTCTGGACTCTGACCTCTAACTCTGACCCCTGGGGCCAGGGTGCTGGTTTCTGCTCCCTCCCGTGTCCCTGCGTGGCCCTCTCCTCTGGTCCTCGGGTTTTGACTCTCAGCTTTGTTTCTGCTGGGTCTTGTTCACACCGGGCTTCAGTAATCCATCTGTCCCCATCTCACATCTGCGGAGATCTCCACCCTCAGCAACACGGTTACGTTTCCTTCCAAGAATCCTCACCGTCACATCTCATTGTTGGTCCTCCTGCCGCTGCGCCCTCCCCATCCCTGGTTGCCCCCCTCCCGGGTGCTGGCCTTCCCTCCTCCTGAAGCAGAAAGGTCCCCACACCCTGAGTGCCCACTTTTGTGGCTTCGACACCATCACGAACCCCAGCAAGGCCCACACCCCGGTCTCCAGCCCACACCTCTCCCTGAGCCCAGGCCCGGAGACCTTTCCACGCAGGTGCCTGTGGGCACCTTTCCTTCCCACATCCACAAGCTCATCCCCAGCCTCCGTCCACCAGGGCTCAGCGAGAACCCTGGTCCCCCAGCCTCCTTCCCCTCAGGGCCCTGCTGTCCCCTGCAGCCCGCCTGGCTGCGCGGGACACGCCGTCCCCCAGTGTGCACTGGCTCTCAGAGGCAGCTCTGGGCAGGAAAGGCACCCGCCCTTGCTGCGTTCTCGGGGACTCCAGCCCGGCTCGCTGGGTTGGACCTTGGGACTCAGTCCTGAGGGGCTGGGGTGCATCTTGTGTCTGTCAACCCCCTGCACCAGTCACCTCTGCTCCCTGATCTGTGATTCTTTCTTGGGAATTGCATCCGCTTGGCCTCTGCCCGTGTTCTAGGTCCGGGCGCTCCTGTTGCCGTGCGCAGGTTCTCGCGGCCTCCGCGCGTGCCTCCTGCACCCGAGCCCTTCCTGTCTGAGGAGGGGCCTCCTCCTTCCCTTCCACTCGGGCCTCGCTTCTGTCTCTCCTGTTTCTCTCGTGGCCTTTCTCCGATGGGTCTCGGACTCTGCCAGGGCTCCCTCCGATGTCCTCGATTCTCGGATCCCTGTCTAACTGACAAAGGCGTGCGCCGGTGTCTTTGCTCTGGGCTGTGGTCTCCGTTGATTCCTGGAGGAGAATCCCTGGTGTCCTGCCTGGAAGAGGAAGGACACTTTGGTGTGTGCTGGAAGCCCAGCAGGGGAAGGGACAGTGCGGGGGCTCAGTGTCCATTGGCCCAATCCAGTGATCTGAGTGTTTGGTTTTTAGCCCCTAGAAGTGAGTCCGTCTTCCTGAGGGGGTGTCGGGGTTTGGGAAGCAGGCTCGGGTGGTGCCATCTACCAGAGCTGCCCGAGGCCTGGGGCATTCTTGTTGCTGCTGGGATGTCCGGCCTGCAGCTCAGGTCCAGCTCGATGTCTCGAGTGGGCTGCAGGCCTCTCCTTGCCCTTCGTCTGTGAGGTGATGCCTGGTGGGGGGGTCAGCAGCAGGCGTTTGACTGACAGTTGGGAGCGCACATTTGCACGTAGGGAGACATTGCTAAAGTGACCTCTGAGAATGCTGTGCTCCCGGACAAGGCCACCACGGTGCCTGCTACCGCGCAGCTCGCGGTCAGTTCATGGTCAGAAGCTTTTCATTTCCCAAGGCGCCGTTCAAAAACTATTAGTGAGAGTGGCATCTTTCTGGATATTCCTCCCTCCCTCCCTCCCTCCCTCCCTCCCTCCCTCCCTCCCTCCTTCTCTCCTTCCTTCCTTCCTTTCTCCTCTTTCTCCTCCTCCTTTTATTCCTCACCCAAGGATATTTTTCTATTTATCATCAGACAGAGTGGGAGGGAGGGAGGGAGAGAGAGAAACATCGATGTGACAGAGACACATCGACTGGTTGCCTCCCACACAACCCCAACCAGGGCCAGGGACGAAACCGCAACCGAAGTACGTGCCCTTGACAGAAATCAAACCCACGACTCTTTGCTCAACTGCTGAGCCACCTGGGGGCTTCTCCTTTTTCACGCCCCTGAGACATGTACTGACCACTGCATTTCTTGTCCTGTAAGTCATTCTGTTTTCTGAGCATTGTTGTTGGTTATTGTAGACTCAAGGTCAAGTGGATCCTCTTTGACAGGACCCCAGCGGTCTCTTAAAATCATGCAGTGTTTTACTTTGCTTCATAGTGGACCATTTCTTTATTTTTCTGCTGTAGTTTGTCATTGCCCCCCAGCCCCCGCATACCTTCATCACACCGAGTTTGACCAGCCTCTCTCTGGCACACCGTCTAGCGTGTGGGCGCTGGGCACCGTCCCGCGCTGGGCACCGTCCCGCACTGGGCGGTGGTTCTCAGCCTCCTGTACAGCCGTCTTCCTGGGACTTCTGTCTTCTGCTTCCCCAGCCGGGACCGTCATTTCCCGGATCCCCACGCTCTCTTCTCTCTCGGGCTTGGCGTTCATTCGCCGAAGAAAGTGTATCTGAGAGGAGCCCTTCTGAATTGTCCTGTGTCCAGGGACGCCGGGACCGTGCCCTTGCTCACGCTCGACACCACCGGGGACAGAAAGCTGGCTCCGGACCAATTTTCCTTCTAGGACGTAAAGACATTGCCCTGTTGTCTTCGGACGTGCAAAGTGGATGCTGAGAAACATGCAGAGAATCTGGTTTTCGTTCCTTCCTAGTTGACTTCGTTTTTTTTTTTCCTTCTGGAAATGTAGTTTTTTTTTTTTAGCTTAAAAAAATTTATTTTCCCTCTGCTCTGTCTCTGCGGAATTCCTGGTCCTCGGGTCTCTACCTCTTCCCTCACACATTCCATCTCCGTCTTTTTTTTAAATCCTCATCCGAGGACATTTTTGCATTTATCTTCAGATAGAGAGGGAGGAAGAGAGAGAGAAACATCGATGTGAGAAAGACACATCGAGTGGTTGCCACCCACACGACCCCAACCGGGGTCAGGGATGAACTGCAACTGAGGTGCGTGCCCTTAGTGGGAACCGAACCTGGGACTCTGTGGTCTGCGGGCTGGTGCTCTAACCACTGAACAAACCAGCCAGGGCCCATCTCTGTCTTTTTAAATATATTTAAAAATTTGATTTATTAGAGAGAGAGGAAGGGAGAGAGAGATAGAAACATCAATGTGGGAGAGAAACATCATCGGCCGCCTCCTGCACGCCCCCTACTGGGGATCGAGCGCATGACCTGGGCATGTGCCCTGACCAGGAATCGAACCCGGGCCTCTCAGTCTAGGGGACGATGCTCCATCCACTGAGCCACACCAGCTGGGCCCGACTCTGTCTTTATAGATGACATCTGAAGAATTTTCCTTCACTTTTCTTTCTTTTTCTTCTTTTTCGATTACAGCTCACATCTCCTTCATGTCCTTTTGTCTTTCTATCCATTTTAACAATCACTCTTCATTTCCGAGAGCTCTTGGTTCCTGTTTACTTTGTAGCCTCCTTTTCTTCTTTTTACAGAGACACTGTTTCCTTGAGGGTATCAGTGGGTTTTCTCCGAGTTCCCTCTTGTTCCCTCAAAGGTCCGTCTTCCGTTTCTCCACCGCGGTCCTTGTCTCTGGCCCAGCCAGTCCTGGTGACGGAGGAAGGACTGACTGACTGGCTTTTTCTGGGCGGGCGGGGTGGGTCTTTGGGATAGCTCTCATCCACTGCACCTTGGTCCGGGTGCTTCACCTCTGGTCTAGTCTGTAACAGCTCTACTGGGTAGGCACTCGCGTACCCTCCTTGTCAGGTGAGAGGTTTAGCGACTGTCTCAGGGTCGCGCAGTAGGTGGTGGAGCAGAGGGCAGTGCGGGAATCTCTCTTTGGGCTCTGGGGAACCGGATGTGAGCTTAGCCAGTGGTCCATGCTACTCTGCGGGCATATCCTTTGTCCTGAGGGGTGTCTGTATGGTCCTGTCTGGTGTTCGTTTCTTGGGCTATGTTCAGAAAGGCCCCTCCTTAAGATCAAAAATGTGTTCAGCTGTGATTTCCTTTAGATGTTTATGATTTCAATATTTTTATTTATTTATTTATTTTTTTATCCTCACCTGAGGATATTTTTCCATTTTTTGTACAGATAGAGTGGGAGGGAGAGAGAGGAAGGGAGAGAGAGAGAGAAACATCGATGTGAAAGGGACACATCGAGTGGCTGCCACCCGCACGACCAACCAGGGCCGGGGACAAACTGCAACTGAAGTACGTGCCCTTAGTGGGAACCGAACCCGGGTCTCTCCGGACCGCAGGCCGACGCTCTAACCGCTGAGCCAAACTGGCCAGGGCTGATTTCAATATTTTAAAGATCTGAGTCTTAAATTTTTTTTCTCTTTTTATTGATTTTAGAGAGGAAGGGAGAGGGAGAGAGAGGTAGAAACATCCATGAGAGGAAACATCGATGGGCTGCCTCCTGCACGCCCCCCTCTGGGGATCAGGCCCACAACCTGGGCATGTGCCCTGACCGGGAATGGAACCGGTGACCTCTTGGTGCAGGGGTCATCACGCAACCACTGAGCCACACCGGCCGGACTGTAGGTTCCTTCACACAGGGCCGTGCAGATCTTACTGTCATTATTCTATAGCTTTTGCTGGTGTGTGACGGACATCTGCTGTCTCCCCTGGCTCTGTGGCATCTGGGGAAGCAAGCTAGCTTGGCATCAACTCTGTTCCCTCTGAGCCCATCAGTGGTGTATCCAGTCTTTCAGTTGGCTTATTTTTGTTTTGTTTTTTTTTGTTTTTATCCTCACCCGAGGATATTTTTCCATTTTTTGCACAGATAGAGCGGGAGGGAGAGAAAGGAAGGGAGAGAGAGAGAGAAACATCGACGTGAAAGGGACACATCAAGTGGCTGCCACCCGCACGACCAACCAGGGCCGGGGACAAACTGCAACTGAGGAACATGCCCTTAGCGGGAACCGAACTTGGGTCTGTCTGGACCGCAGGCAGGCCAGGGCTATTTCCCCATCTTTAAAACGAGCACAGAAGTACTAACTTGCAAGTGTGTTTACACAAAAATGCCCCCTCGCCTCGCGCACAGCCCATTTCTACTCGTGTGGAAAGAACAGGGGACGCGGAGGAGACTGCAGGCAGACCTGCTGCTGCTTCTCCCGGGGCCAGGAGTACGTGCCCTTAGCGGGAACCAAACCCGGGTCTCTCCGGACCGCAGGCCGACGCTCTAACCGCTGAGCCAAACTGGCCAGGGCTCAGTTGGCTTATTTTGGTTTTCCAGGTACATAATCACATTTCTGAAATAGCATTTTTTTCCTTTGTGAATTCATACTGCTCCAGAACAGTAGTGTGAGTGTCTCCAGGGCCTCACCCTGGAGCACGAGCCTGGCCTTCGACATAATACACGTTGTACTTTTTATCGTGTAGTGGAAAGCAGGTGATTTCAACGCAAAGTCACCCTATGTGCACAGCTTCCGTGGGGGAAACCGAGGCCCCTCCTAACAGGCCCTGTCTAGAACGCGTGTCTCCATGACCTGCGGAGCTCTCTCCGTGTGTGCGTGTGGGTGTTTGGGTGTCAGCTTCTTTTACTCACCTGCAGGGCAGTCTCCTTTACCTCCTCTCCACTGCCCCCCATCTCCCCCCTGTCCCCCGTCCTCCTGCCCCACCTGAGGCAGTTAGAAGCAAGGGGCAGTACTGAACCTCCCGTCCTTCCTAGGATCAACGGCCACCCTGGGAATTCCGTGCGCCTGGCAGGCTTGTGGAAGCTGGAGGAGGTCAGTGTGTCCCGGGTGCCCTGCTGCTCTGCCCTGCACTGCCCTTGTCCCGGGCCTGACCCCGTCCCTGACCCCGTCCCTGTCGGCTCACAGTGCCACCTCAGCGGCTGCATGATGGACCTGTTCGTGCAGATGGCCATCATCATGGGTCTGAAGCAGACGCTCAGCAACTGCATGGAGTACCTGGGCCCGTGAGGACCCCGCTTCCCCGCGGCCTCATCCTCTCCCCCATCTCCCGGGGCAGCCCTTCCCGGGGCCCCTCCACGCTCAGCTCTGCTCCCGATCCCCTACCTGGTTCTTCTCACCCCCAGGTGGCTGGCCCACAAGTGTCGCTCGATGTGGAACAGCAAGTCCCTGGACCCCGAGCTGCGGGACTGGCAGCGCAACTACCTTCTGAATCCAGTTAACACCTTCAGCCTGTTCGATGAGTTCATGGAAATGAGTGTGTGGGCGGAGCTGGGGCGCAGGAGGGCGAGGGGCCGGGGTGGGCGGAGCTGGGGCGCAGGAGGGCGAGGGGGCCGGAGCTGGGGCGCAGGAGGGCGAGGGGGCTGGGGTGGGTGGAGCTGGGGCGCAGGAGGGCGAGGGGGCCGGGGTGGGCGGAGCTGGGGCGCAGGAGCTCAGGGTGTGCCCCCGCAGTGATCCAGTACGGCTTCACGACCATCTTCGTGGCCGCCTTCCCGCTGGCCCCCCTGCTCGCGCTCTTCAGCAACCTCGTGGAGATCCGCCTGGACGCCATCAAGATGGTCAGGCTGCGGCGGCGCCTGGTGCCACGCAAGGCCAAGGACATCGGTCAGGGGCCCAAGGGGACTGCTGCACAGGCGGGGCGCTCAGCTTGGGGGCAGGGGTGGCAAGGACCATGTTAATGCCCCTGCTCCCACAGACAGCCCCCAGGTCTTCGATGGGGGTCAGGCCCCAGGAAGAAGCTCCGCTAGCACTTCAGAGCCCCCCCCCCCATCTGTCTGAAGGTCCTGCAGCCTCCTGGGGGGGGGGGGCAGGCAGAGAAACTGGACTCTGAGAACAGATCTGAAGGATGGAGGGGCCCAGCAGCTAGGGGCAGGGATGGAGAGCAGGTGCCCTCAGTCACCCAGACACCCAGACTAGCCTCACTGAGATGGGCAGGTGTCAGGGATGAACAGAGGGCTGGGTGTCAGAAGTGGACAGAGGGAGGGACACGCGAGAGAGGCCCCAGTCTTGGGTCCAGGTTGAGGGGTTCCACCCTAGAGTGGGGACCCAGGGAATGGAGCAGGCTTGGGGCAGCTGAGGGGTTCAGACCAACAAGGGGGATGGGGAGACCCGAGCCCCTTCCTGTCTACGTCAAGGACAATGGGGTCCGGAGAGCAGAGGCTGGGCTGTCGTCCTTGGCCCAGGTCTCCTGGTCGGTAGCCTGGCCCTACAGCTGTGATGCCACATACGGGGATGCGAGAGGCCCTGGGACCATCCGGCTGCTGGCTTTGTGGGGGGGCGGGTGGAGGTGGGGGTGGGGGGCTGCAGCAGCAGTCACGGTTGGGGAACCAGACAGCCTCACTTCACTGCCGGGGCCCAGGTACCTGGCTGCAGGTGCTGGAGACCATCGGCGTGCTGGCGGTCATCGCCAACGGGATGGTCATCGCCTTCACATCTGAGTTCATCCCCAGAGTGGTGTACAAGTACCGCTATGGCCCGTGCCGACAAGGGGCCCACTATAAAGAAGAGTAAGGGGTGCTGCCACCCAGCCCCTGGTGGGGGGGTCACACTGTCCAGAGACCCCTGGGAAAACTGGCCCAACCACAGCCCAGCAAGGGAGGCCAGGGGAAGGGCCCAGTGCTGCCAGCATTGCTTCCACACTGACCGTGGGCCTGGGCGGGAGCAGGAGTCCTGGCTGGGACCCCAGGGGCGTTAGGTCCCAGACCAGCTGTTTCCTGAGCAGGCACTGGGCCCCTGCCCTCCAAGAGTCAGGCCCTTTGTGGCTCCAGCACAGGAGGGCAGAGCAGTGTCCTCAGCCAGTCTTCACGGGGTCCCACCTGAGGCTCCTCGCAGCCCTGGCAGGGCAGGTAGACAGTGGCACCCTCAAGCCCTTCAGCCTCCCCCAGTGGCCCCTCTCCCACACAGAGGAAGGGAGGAGGGGTGGTTTGCACTGTGCCTCACCCCATGAACCCACCAGACAGGAATTAGCTCCAGGGAAGCACCCCAGAGGCCTGAAGGGGCCATAACCTGGAGCTCAACCCCCATCTCCTCCCCCTCCCCCCAGCTGCCTCACCGGCTACATCGACCACAGCCTGTCTGTGTTTCATATCAACGACTCTGTCAGGATAGAGGGCCTAGAGAACATCACTCAGTGCAGGTTTGGATACCACCCCTCCTACCCCCATGAGTGCCCTCCGAACTCCTGACCCCTGACCTTAGGTCTTTCCCCACCCCACCAGGTACCGGGACTACCGAAACTCTCAGGACTACAACTTCTCGGAACAGTTCTGGGTCCTCCTGGCCATCCGCCTGGCCTTCCTTATCCTCTTCGAGGTGGGCCAGAACTGGGGGGGCCCTCCTCCCTGGCACCCCCCCCCCCCAGCCTGCTTGGCCTCCTCACTCAGCCCCTGCCCCGCCCCGCAGCACGTGGCCTTGTGCATCAAGCTGGTGGCTGCCTGGTTCGTGCCTGATGTCCCTCAGTCGGTGAAGAACAGGGTTCTGGAGCAGAAGTACCGGATGCTCTGGGAGAAGATGCGGTATGGGGGGCCGAGGCAGTGGTGTGGGCCACGCCTGGGCTCCGAGAGACCCACCAGCTCCGCTCCTGCTTCCAGCGTCAGCATCAAGAGCACAGATGTGTGAGGGACCCAGAGCTGACACACAGGGAGCGGAGACTCAGAGCCAGCACCCCCACCCCTGCCCAGGGCTGTGTGTGTGGAGGGAATATAGACTCACGCATATGTGGGTATATGGGGGGCGCTGGGGGGCCTGTGTGTTTGGGCATCAGTGAGCACCTTACTCTCTGTCCCACCTGTTAGGGCTCAGTCTTGGCATGACCCTGACTTGAACTCTGGGTGCCCACTGCCACCCATACAACTGGGGGAGGGGGTGCTTCTTATGCATCCACAACACAGGAACACCGTTGCTGGGCCTCCCTCTGACTTCTGGGCCCGGTCTGCCCCCACCCCCATCCTGGCTGGTCAGGGGGCCCTGACCCCACCTCTCTGGCTCACTGAAGCCAGTAGAACTTTTTATAATAAAATAAAACCTCTTTGTGTCAACTTTTGGGCCTCTGATGGATTGTGTCTGTCCTCAGAGCTAGATGGGAAACTGAGGCCACGAACTTCCTTCCAGGTGAGGGGCCTCCTACTAGAGTCCTCCCTTCCCTGCACCAGGGATTTAGGGGCTGGAGTCAGGGCCGGCTTCCTGGGGAGGAGGGGCACAACCACAGAAGGTGCCCCTGGGGTTGGAATCTCCAAGGAGTTTCCCCCGGGGTTCGAAGGGCTGGTTGGGCGGGTCTGGCCTCTGCCCCCAGGCCTGGCCGCGGGGCTCCAGACTCCCAAGAGTTGAGTGCCAGACTTTCTTGAGCGCCAGCCTTGGGCGCACAGCGGGAAGCTTGGGTCTGCCCTGGGCCCTGGGTGCTGGGCGGGGCTGCACCTGTTGCGGCCGCTGAGGCTGTCGCTGCTGCGCACCTGGCCCAGGTGAGCCGCCCCGCCCCCGCGGTCGCGCGCGCCCCAGGTGTTGGCAGCAGATGAGTGGCAGTCACGGCTGACCCACAGGGGTGAGTGGAAGTCGTCGACTCCCAGAAGTCGGACGTGGCCTGGTGCTTGGGCCTGGGGCCCCTTGCCCCGAGGGCCCTCTGGGAGGGCGCGGTCCCGCAGGAAGTGCCTCGGAGCGGGGCTGGCTGCCCGCGCCGCCCGGAAGCCCAAGCCTGTGCGTTCTGGCCGGCTGGGCCTTCCCGCTCCGCCCGACTCGAGCAGTGGCTTCCCCATGACCTTTGGGCAGGACAGGCAGGGGGAGTGCCAGGACGCGTGGGGACCCCCGCCCCCACCAACGCCCCGAGCCCGGATCCTAGCCAGAGCCTCCCAGGGGTCGAGAGGGTGCCCGGAGGAACGGGCAAGGGCCGCCGCGGGCGGTCGCCGGGCGGAGCTGCCGCCATCCGCGCGCCCCGCCCTCCGTGCGCGCCAGGCCGCCGGCTCGCAGCACCTGGAGGGCGGCGGTACTAAGTCCGGTCCACCCCCGGGAAGGCGGAGCGCGGGATGTGGGGTGTGTGGCGGGGGAGCCGGGAGAGTGGGGTAGAGCCCGTCGGCCTGCGTGGTCGCAGCCTCCTCTGCACTTTCTTTCCTTCAGGAGAGACGTCCGGGGTGCAGCACGCGTGAGGCGCAGAGGGGCTGCGCGCCCCAAACGAGGGGGAGGCTATGGGGTGCTGAGCAGCAAAGCTGGCAGCGGGCGGGGGCCAGGCGGTCACCGAGGCCGGGACAGCTGCCCAATCGCGCGGGCTGGAGGGCGGAGGGGCCCGGCTTTGTATGAACCGCGGGTGTGGGGCCGAAGGTGCTGGGCGGTGCCGGGGGCGGGCTTGGAGTCGGAAGGGCTGTTCGTGACAGTGCCTGAGGCCAAGTGGGTTTCTCGGCTTCCCTGCGAGGGTGGACCGGCGAGGCAGGGGAGGGTGAGGGTGGACGTGGGCAGAGGGAGGGGCGTTTGCGCGCAGCTGGGAGCTGGTGGCACAGATGGGCACACAGATCAGTGGGCAGCCTGGCAGGACCTTTGCGAGGCAGCGAGCTGCTGGGGGACACGGGGAGAGCTCAGCTCTGCTTCCTGCCTGTGCTCCTGGGCAGGTCTCTGGCTAGAGCGGTGACTGCGCGGGCTGGGCTGCCTCCTCAGCCTGCAGGCCACTGAGAGCTAGCACCAGCTAGTACCTCCAGCAGGCCGACTGGGTTGTGTGGGACCCTCACCCCAGGTTCTTGAGGGCCACAGTGGGGTGGGCCGGGCTGGGACAAGTCAGATGAAGGGTAGTGGAAAGCTGATGCTACACTGAAGATGCCCCACAGGTGCCCTGTGGGGGTGAGTGCATGGACAGGGGCGTGTTTCTATGGACATCAGTACCAGCCACCTGCTGCTAGGCCCTGAGTCGCAGGTCAGTCTTGGGGCAGAGTTGGTGGTGACAAATGGAGACCCAGGAGCCTCTGCCAAGGCCCCTGCTTACTCCCTTTCCTGGAAAAAACGGGCACTGTGCCCTATGCCAGCCCGAGGCCAAGGTCCACATGGAGCCACAGCTCACTGTTCGGGGGCTACACCTGGGAGGTGGAGAGGGCTGGGACTAAAGAGCCCTGCTCAAGGCCCCATTATTGGCGGAAGTTTCCATAGGACCCATCCCACCTTGCAGGTCAGAGGTTAGAGACTCATGGGGCTGCTCACCTGGGGGGCTGGGCATGGAGATTCCCCCACTTCCCTGGTGTGGCATCCTGTGGGGTCTCCCCAGGAAGCAGGCATACTGCCCAGCTGGGCCTGTGTGTGTGTGTAGGACAGTCCTGACTGAGGGGTCTCCTTGCCGGGACCCCCTCACATTGCCTGGACTCCAGCCTCCCCCTACACCTCAGGCCTGGCCTCGGAAATGCCGGCCTGGTGGGCTGGGGCGGGCCCAGAGGAAGGAGCCCTTGACTCAGAGTTACAGGAAGAGCAGGCAGGCGGGGCCGGCGGGCCAACCAACTGTCCGCCTGCCGGAGGGGGTGGGTGCTGGGTGGGGTTTAGGTTTAAGAGAGGATGTGACTGCAAGGCCAGGAAGCTACAAAAAGTTCTGATTGAAACACACAAACAAAAGCCAGGTCCTCACCCTGCTTGGTGATGGGTCCAGGGCAGCTGTGGTGTTTCGGGCTGGGCCAGGGGCCCAGCTGAGCAGAGTGTGCTCCCAAGCACAGGGCAATGACCTCTGTGACCAACGTCCCCACAGGAGGAAAGAGCCAGAACCAGGTGACTTCGTGCCCTCCCACCGCGGGCTGCTGCCTCGTGAGCCTGAATCCTCAGCCTCTGAGGCCCGAGGCCTGTCCTCGCCTGTCCCCCGAGTCAGGCCTGGCTGAGGGGAGGCCTGCAGTGCCTGTGGCGTGTGCGCCCCTGAGAGGGAGGGACACCAGGAGGCTATGTGTGCACCAGGGGGGGTGTGCGGTTCACTGTGTGGTGGGTGTGCAGGTGCTTGTGGCCGAGCCCCTGCAGGAGCTGTTCCAAGTGTGTACCCGCTGTGTGGACCACAGAGTGTTGGAGGGGTGGGGAGTGTGGACGTGTGCACACGGATCAAGGTGGGAGCTAAGTGCAGGTGCACGTGGGGAGGGGCTGTGTGTGCAGGGGGTGGGTGTGCCACACAGAGACCATGGGGGAGGGGCGTGAAGGGAAGATGTGCAGGAGAGCTGAGTGCAGGTGTGTGTTGAGAGGGGTGTGAAAGGGTGTGTGGGAAAGGTGTGTGCAGCAGAGGGGTGTGGAAGGGTAGGTGTGCAGGAAATGTGTGTGCAGGAGGAGGCGGTGCAGGAGAGGCCACCTCCTGAGCTCGTGCAGGCCCACTGCTCAACCCTGGGCCATCACGGTCACTTGAAGGCCCCGTGTAAGGGCCTCAGAGTCACTCTGTTCTTGTCTGGATGCTCCTCTGGCATCCAGGGCACAGTGCTATTTGTGGCCAGTTACATGTTAACTCATCCTGTTCTTCTTTGACTTGCCCTCTGACCCATCCTGGTGCCCTGCTGACCTACCGTGGACAGAGAGTGCGCCCTGCCCAGCCCTGGGGGTCCAGTCTGCTTGGCCACGGAGCCTGTGGAGCCAGGGGTGGCACTGTGCCCAGCTTACCCGAGGAGGCCCTGGTCAGACCATGGCAGGTAGACAGGTCACAGAGGGCCGGGTGTGGGCCCCCCTGTTCCGTCCAGCGCCTCTCGTGCTCCAGGCTGCCTTTTAGCCTGGGCTCTGCTGACCCTCCTCCAGGCTTGTGGGGGTGGGCGCTGCTGGGGGGCTGCACCCTCTACATGCTGGCTGTCTTCTCTGACTCCTGCTGGTGTTCATCAGCCTGACTTTAAGATGAGAAAGTTCAGGCCTCGGGGAGGTGGGAGGGCTCGCACGTGGTCAGCAGAGGGTTCTGGAACCGTGGCTCCCACACCAGGTGGAAGGTGCTGGCACACCCAGCACCAGAGTCCCCCAAACCACTGGTGTCCACACCCACTGCAGCTCCCCCTCTAGGGGGCAGTGCCTGGCCCTTCACCTGGGGCTCGTGTCCTGGGCCGATAAGCAGCCAGGTGCTGGGCCCTGTCCTCCATGGGACTCATGGACGGATACAGTGTGGCCACCGAGCAGCACATGCCACTGGCCGTCCTTTCTTCCTGGCCCACAGACCATCTGTGCACAGAGGGAGCCTGGTGTCCTGCACACGCTGACCCGCTGGATCCTTTTCCTGCAGGTGTCTGCGACGGGCCCCCTGACTTCCTCTCCCCTTCAGGAAACCAGGTTCTGAGGCCTGCGTTGGGCAGTGTGGTCACTCTGAACTGCACAGCCTGGGTGGTCTCTGCACCCCACTGTCCCCTGCCCTCAGTCCAGTGGCTAAAAGATGGGCTGCTGCTGGACAATGGGAGCCATTATGACCTTCATGAGGACTCCTGGTAAGAGACGACCCTGGGTGTACCCGTGACCAGTGGCCTCTCCGACCTATACCCTGGTCTACAGCCATCTGGACATGGCTGGGAGTGACTTCCCAGACATGACATGGGCAGAGTGCCCCTGTGGACACAGACTGAGGGTCAGTAACGGGAGGAACAGATGGCCCCTGTAGAAACTCTACACTGCCCAGGGCCGTGGGTGCCAGCAGCATCCTAAGGCCTGAATGAGACACGGGCCGTTGGGCCCCGCCTGGGGTCAGAGGACTTCCAGGGCCCAGGCCCAGAATTAGGGTGACAGTCACTAAACAAATTCAAACCTCTCCAGGTTCTGCCCCTTCTCTGAGCATATGGTCCAAGGGCTGCTCAGGAACCCCAAATCTGCATCCTCTCAGAATCCCAGCAGGTGGGGCTCTGGGGTGTCCACTGCTGCTCTCGCCCCAGGTGAGAGGTTGGGGCCTGGTCTCCCCCAGGGTCAAGGCGAACTTGTCAGAGGTGCTCGTGTCCAGTGTCCTGGGAATCAACCTGACCAGCGCTGACTACGGGGACTTCACCTGCTCTGTCCAGAATGTCAGCTCCTCCTCCTTCACTCTCTGGAGAGCGGGTGAGGGGTGCACAGGGATGCAGGATGGGGGGAGGCCTGGGGGTCTGGAGGGTGCTGGGGGAGGGTGCAGCGGCTCAGGGTGCAGCTCTGTCCCCAGGCCCAGCAGGCCACTTGGCGGGAGTGCTGGCCTCACTGCTGGTCCTGCTGGTCCTGCTTCTGGCCGCCCTGCTCTACCTGAAGTGCCGACTCAGTCTGCAGCTCTGGTACCAAGACAAGTATGGGGAGGTGGAGATGAACGGTGCGTGGGTGGATGGCCCCACGGGGTCAGCCACAGGGCCTCCCTAGGCCCAGCTCTGGGTAGGGGGTGCCCCTGGCGAGTGGGGGTGGCTCTGGAGGTGGGGGACAAGGACGCATCAGCCCCGGAAGGCTCCAGTGAGCACATTCCAGGAAAGAGGGACTCCATGCCGCCCAGGGGCGCATAAGGGCCTGGGTCTGCAGAGAGGGGGCCGGAGGCCTGTATCCTGGTTGGAGGGCGCCACTAGGAATCCTGTACTGGGAGGGGTCGTGGGCGGAGTCTGCACCTGCGGGAGCGCCTGGGCCCTGTGCGCTCTGGGGAGCTTAGGGGACCCCCAGGACCAAGCCAGAGGCGGCGATCTGACCAGCCGCGGTCCGCAGACGGGAAGCTCTACGACGCCTACGTCTGCTACAGCGACAGCCCCGAGGATCGGAAGTTCGTGAACTTCATCCTGAAGCCGCAGCTGGAGCGGTGTCGGGGCTACAAGCTCTTCTTGGACGACAGGGACCTCCTGCCGCGGGCAGGTGCGTAGGCGCCGCTCTGCTCCTGCCCCTCTGGCCGCCCAAGTGCCCCAGGTCTCGCCCCTTCTGGACCCAGGCCCGCCCCTCCCAGGGCTTGGGTCCCAGCCTGCCCGTTTCCTGCAGAGCCCTCCGCCGACCTCCTGGTGGATCTGAGCCGCTGCCGCCGGCTCATCGTGGTGCTGTCAGATGCTTTCCTGGGGCGGGCCTGGTGCAGCCACAGTTTCCGGTGGGTCTCACGCTGGGTTGGGGGCGGGGTGGCCCAGCGCCGCCGGCTGACAATCCCGCCTCCCGCCCCCGCAGGGAGGGCCTGTGCCGGCTGCTGGAGCTCACGCGCCGGCCCATCTTCATCACCTTCGAGGGCCAGCGGCGCAACCCCACGCACCCGGCGCTGCACCTGCTGCACCAGCACCGCCACCTGGTGACCCTGCTGCGCTGGAGACCCGGCTCCGTGGTGCGGAGGGTGGCGTGGGCCCCGGGCTGGGCTGGGGTTCCGTGGCTGCTGCCCGGAGGAGCCCCCTTCGAGGTTCCAGGAGCCAGTGAATGCGCCGCTGGGTGTACTGTTTGCGGCCCGGTGGCGGACCCTCCCAGTGTTTGCACCCCCACGTGTTCACACACAATACGTGTCCCCCCTTGGCCCCCAGACGCCTTCCTCCGATTTTTGGAAAGAACTGCAGTTGGCGCTGCCCCGGAAGGTGCACTACCGAGCGATGGAGGGAGACCCCCAGACGCGGCTGCAGGATGACAAGGACCCGATGCTGATTGTGGGAGGCCATGTCCGGGAGGGTCGGACCCAGGACCCGGAGCTGGACCCAGACCCTGAGGGGGACCTGGGTATGTGCACCCAGCCCCACCCCTGACCTGGGAAATGGCCTGGGGTGAATGGGGCTGCACTGGGCGGAGGAGTCCAGAAAGGGGCCCAGGTCCTGGGAGTCCTCCCTGCTGTCTGTGGAAGGGCTTGACCCCCTCCCCCTGGACCCCTTCACCTCATGGCTTCTTCCCCGGAGGCACTGGGCCTACGACCTGCCCAGAACCTTGAGAACCTCAAATGTCACCTCTCAGGAGGGGGAGCAGGGAGTGAGCCCAGCTTCAGGCCTGGTGGTGCCCCCTCCCCAGGTGTTCGAGGACCCGTCTTTGGGGAGCCACCAGCTCCACCGCAGGCAAGTGGGGTCTCACTGGGAGAAGGCCCGAGCAGCGAGGTGGATGTCTCCGACCTTGGCTCCCGCAACTACAGCGCCCGCACAGACTTCTACTGCCTGGTGTCCGAGGAGGACATGTAGCCGCTCTCACTTCCGATGGAGCCGCAGGATGGCGGGGACACCTGGGGGTGGAACCTGGACCCTGGGACCCTGGGGCGGCTGCAGCTCTCGTGCCAGAAAATAAAGTCTTGTTGGACCCTGCCTGGGCCTCACCCTGTCCTCTCCTGGGTCAGAAAGGGATGCACATTGTCCAGGGCCAGGCTCCCGCACTTCCATCTCAGGCTCCCCAAGGCCCCCGACCCCCCACTCTTTTCATCCCCACAGCCTCTTAGTCACCAGCTCTGGCTGTCCACTCCAGCCCTCCGTCTCTTCCTCCTCCGTCCTGAGCCAGCTCAGGCACCTCTCCCGCCGTAGCCCCTCGGGCCCCCCTGCGGCTGTGGTTGTCCCCAGCGCCCCTCTGACCCAGACAGCCTGGAGTCTGGGCCCTTAGAGATGTCAGGTTTGGAGCTTCGCAGACGCCCTTTGTTGTAAAACTATTTTTTTTTTTTTTAATCTTCACCTGAGGACATTTTTCCATTTTTTGTACAGATAGAGTGGGAGGGAGAGAGAGGAAGAGAGAGAGAGAGAGAGAGAGAAACATCGATGTGAAAGGGACACATCGAGTGGCTGCCACCCGCACGACCAATCAGGGTCGGGGACAAACTGCAACTGAGGTACGTGCCCTTAGCGGGAACCGAACCCGGGTCTCCCCGGACCACAGGCCGACACTCTAACCACTGAGCCAAACCAGCCAGGGCTGGTGTAAAACTATTAGTGGGAACTTCACAACCAAGTGGCCTGGCCCGGTGAGATGGGGAAGGAGGCCCAGAACCTACAGGAGCCCAGACTTCAGATGGACAGCTTGCGAGTCCCCCGTCAGGACACCCCCGGGCCCAGGGGGCAGGGCAAAGAGGTGTCGGGTGCCTTTGCCGCATGAGCAGGACAGCACCAAAGTCAGGAGCGGTCGCTCCTCTGCACATGAAGTCCGCAGCTCTGCTGCAGCTGTGCCTCCGGCAGCCCTGAGGCCTCTGCCGTCCACCCCGCCCCCTTCACGCTTGGCCAGCTCTCCCTGCTGACCAGGAGAGGCCCGTGTGTGAGCTCGGGGCAGCATGGTTGTACTCGGGCACACTGGAGTCCCCAGGGGTCAGGCCGCCAAAGAAGCACACAGGACTGCGGCCGTTGTCTTCATGACCACCTTTATTTTCAGCACTGGCTGTCCTGAGGCACTGCTGGCCATGGCTAGCCCCACCTCTGCCAGTGTGACCTGGTCAGCACCCCATGCAGCAGAGCAGCCTCAAGCCCTGCCCCACCCCTGCCCTGCGGAAGCCAAGTCCCCAGCTGCAAGCCCCCCACCCCAAGCCCTCTCTTTGGTGGCCCAGGCCTTTCCAAGTTGCACGTGGGGCTCCAGCGAGCGGCCCCTGGGCCACCAGCCTTCTCGTCCAGGCTGCCCGAAAGCAGCATGAAGCTGAGCCCCTCTCGGAGGCTGGGCCGAGTCGCATCCTCCTCTGGGAAGGCCTCCTCTAGGGGCCCAGGAAGTCCTCCTTTCGATAACCCTTCTGCAGGGGGGAAAAGGGTGTGAGTGAGAGGGTGCCGGCCACCCTGCATTCCGCCCCGCCCTCCCCGGGGTGCTGGGGTAGACCCTGCTCCCTGGGCCTCCTGCCCCACCCTGGTCTCCAGGCCCCTCCCCGTGCCCTGCCGGCTTCGGGGGGGCCAGGACCTACCGCCCGGAAGTCTCGGTGGAGCTTGTTGTACTGCCACAGATTGGCCAGGAGGCTGGAGGCTGCCCGGGAGGACTTCTCACTGTCGGGGCTGGGGGCGAGGGCAGGGGTCAGCAGGGACAGGCACCGCCAGAAGGCAGGGTGGGCGGGAACGGCCCTCACCTGTCTCGCTTCTTCTTGATGAAAACCAGCTTGCGGAGCCCGTCAAAGTACAGCAGGTCTCGGGCGGCGATGGGGCTGGCCACCACCAGGTTGTTGAGCACAGCGATGATGTTGACCAGCACGTCGGCCGGGGGAGACTTCTCACCCACGCTGCCTGGCAGCTTCTCGATCAGATGACTCACCACCTTGGTGGCTGCGGGAGGCCATGAGGTCAGCGTCAGCCTTGCTCCTGGCCCCCGGGGGACTGGCGTGCCTGTCTGTCCACCAGCTTGCCAGAAGCCAGCCGGGCTGGGAAGCGATAACGACCAGAGCCCGGGGGGAGCCCGCTGGGCAGGCGAGGGCAGAGCCCAGTGCGGGACGCGGACTTACACATCTCGTCCTTGTTCCTGGCATTCCTCGACAGGTTTCGGATGAGGCCGGTCAGCGAGCGCAGCTGGTGGTGGTCGGCCGTGCGCACACGGTCCAGCAGCGCGTTCAGGATGCGCTCCTGCTCCAGGGCCAGGCGGCTGAGCACGCCCGCCCACTGCAGGTTGGAGGGGGGCTGGTGAGTGCCGGTGACGGCGCCAGGACCCTTTACATCCTCACAGTCTACCTGTGGGGAAACTGAGGCAGGGCTGGCTTCTCTCTGGCTCTGCACCCCAGCCAGGACCTCACCAAGCGTGACTCCGGTCAGGGCCCCCTCCCGGGCACCTCCCCGCAGACCCAGCGCAGGACCTGAAGTCTCATGACCCTGAGGCTTGTCCCATCTGGGACGCTGACTTCCTGCTCCTGCTGCCCCTCAGAGGTCACGTCCTGCCTTCTTTCCTCTCTCCCTCTGCTGTCCTGGCCCCTGCATGTGTTTGCGTTGGTCCCACTGTCCCTCTCTCAACAGATGGTCAACGCCCACCCTCGTGTGCCCCTACTGTCCCCTGCACGTGGAGGGTGTGGGTCCCATCAGCCCAGGGCACTTGCTCTGTGGTCCCTCACCCTGCGGTCGCCCGCGGTGATGTTCTGCAGGGCCCCTGCGGCCGCCTCCGTCGTGTGCCGGTTGAGCTCACAGCGCTGCAGGAGGCGGTTGTACAGGCCCACAATCTGGGGGCTCCACAGCCACTCGAGGCCCTTCGGGTCCTTAGACACCTCGGCAAAGGTGAGTGCATCGGCGGTGAGGGGCAGCTGGGTGGAGAGCACAGGGTCAGCCGGGTCCGCCGGGTCCGCCGGGTCCCCCGGGGTGCGCCGGCCCCCTGCTCCCCAGGCCCAGGCCCACCTCTCGAAGCCGCCGGCTCTGCGGCGTGAAGCAGCCCACTACCTCACCGGGAGGTGCCCCAGCCACGTCCCTGCGGCCCCGGCCCTCGAGACGCTGCAGGGCGGATGGCGGCATCTCGTCATACAGCCGGTAGGACAAGTTCCTCAGCACACACACGGCGTTCTCCACGCTCTTCGGGGGGGGCAGACTGCAGTCAGAACAGGCTGGGCCCCCAGCCCCTCCGCACCGGCCGCCCCTCGCCACCGGCCACCCTCACCTTGTCCTCGCACTTGCCCACGTCCAGAGCGTGGTTGATGTAGGTGACCAGGGCATCCACCAGCCCGTGGCACTCACGCATTTTCTGGCGCGTGGCCTGGGAGGCCGAGCTGAGGTTCCTGTGGATGGAAGCAGATCAGAGACCCCCACAGGGGCCCGAACCCAAGGGCCACCATCCTCACTGCTCCTCGGCACCTCCTGCCCCGGTCCCTTCGGATCCTGCTGGCCCTGGTCCCGCTGCGTGACCGTCCCAGCCACTCCTCGGAGACCCGGAGGTTACGGGTGTCGGATCTAGTCCCTGACTGAATGGGACCTGGGCCTGCAGCCCCCAGTCTGCTGACACCACCCCTGGTGGCCTGCCCCCTCGTGTCGGCCGCCTTGCTTCGCCTGACCGCTTCCAATCGCACTCCCGGGCCGTCTCTGCCCTGCCACTCAGGCCCCAGCCCACCGCCTCGCCCGTGCACCTGAGGAAGCCTGTTGCGTTGTAGAAGATCTCAGCCTCGGAGGCGTTTTGCTGGATGAGGGGTGGTCCCCCGGCCCCCGAGAGGGGGCTCAGCACCAGGTCTGTGAGCTGCTCCAGCGTGTCTCGGGCCAGGCGGTCCTTCAGGTGGTCGCTGGAGGACAAGTTCCACAGGATCCCTGGGGCAGGGGCGGCCAAGGCCTTGGTCAGGGACAGCGCTGCAGCCCCTCTGGCTCTTCCGGGGATGGTGGAGGAAGCGTCTGACCTCTCCCAGGGCTCCACCGGGCATTGTGAGCCTCCCCCACGAGCCCTGCTGGGGACAGCTGGAGTGTGACCTGCAGGGTCGCGGGGTGGCCGTGGACCCTGGGGACTCTGCCACAAGACAGTCACGGGGACCAAGGAGAGAGACGGGCCAGGAAGGGCGAGCACGGAGAGAAAGAAAAGGGACCACAGACAGGACGGAGTGAAGCAGGGGACTGGGGCGGGGGCGCACCTGTGACGTTCTTGCGAAGCTCGTCATCCTGCTCCCGCAGCGTCCGCAGCAGCTCGAAGATGCCGTTCTCCTCCACCAGGGCCAGCTTGTTGTCTGCGTTGTCATAGATGAGGTTGCGCATGGCGCCGGTGGCGTGGCGCTGCACCTCCTGGTTGGCGTGGTTGAAGAGCTTCACCAGCCGAGGCACCGCCTGAAGGCTGCGGGCCTGCGGGCACAGGCATGCGGGGTTAGCACGTGTGTGCAGGTGTATGCAGGCGTGTGCACCCTGCAAGTGTGTGCAGGCATGTGCAGGTGTGTGCATGCTACAAGTGTGTGCACGCTGAAGTGTGTGCAGATGTGCGCGAGTGTGCACAGGTGTGTGCACACTGCAAGTGTGTGCAGGTGTGTATAGGCACGAGCAGGCATGTGCAGGTGTGTGCAGGTGTGTGCAGGTGTGTGCAGACGTGCAGATCACTCCCTCCTGCTCCTCCTCTGCTGAGGAGGCTCTGGCAATGAAGCCTGTGCAGTCAGCTGGGGGGTCAGGGAGAGATGTTCAGGGACCAGAGGTGGTCCGCAGGGGTGTTCACAGGGCGCTCACCTGCTTTTTGGCTGCTGCGTCGCTGTAGCACCTGTGCTGGATATAGGCTGCTCCCAGGACCTGCAGGTTGGGGTCTGAGGCCATGAGGTACTTGACTGCTGATGGCAAGTCAATGTCATCAAAGCTGCAGAGACAGGGGTCGGGGTCAGGCCGAGCCTGGGGACAGGTGGGGCCGTGGCAGCAGCCGCCTCCCGCCAGGCCAAGCTCACCCGCTGCTGAGTCTCTGCAGAGTGCGGTGACCGCTG